ATCAGGAGAGAAATGTGAACAGATCAAGCACTGTTTACAAGTGAAAACAGTCCAAAACTGCTCTAAAAAAATACGTTGGGGATTTTGATGTGAGAGGACAACAAGGGATGGACGTTTTCACCTGAGGAAGCGTTATTATGGATTATAGACTGATAGTATGGCCCGAAGCAATGCTTTAATATAAAATGCCTTAATGATTGATTTGTTTCTTACAAATGCAGCTTTGCACTTCATAAGAAAATTGATCGACTGGAGTCGTGTGGATTAGGGGAGCACGGGGCACAAAGTAACGCAGGGTAAGTTGTAACACACGTGGTTTAAATATTTCCACACATGCTAGCATAACAATTTATAGCATTTACTAGTTACCATATCAACATATAGAGAAAAAAGGTGCACCAAAATTCAAGTCTTTTGAAAATATCGCTGAAAATCCTAGGCTGAGCGTCCTAGGCTGTTTCGCGCTGATGGTCTGCATCCCAGCAGAGTCGGGGGAGAGCTCATGTCGGACAACATCTCCAGGACGCTACGCTCCATATGACTAGTAATGGGAAGCTGGGGGAAATTGTGTTCAGCTTAATGAGTTTTTGTGTTTCAGTGTGGTGTGCCTTCATGGCTCCCATTGATTGTGGCCTTGCAGTGTAACGTAGCCCAGGTCGTAGCACCAGTTGTTGTAGCTGTCACCTTTTAAAGAGGAGCCTTTAAAGAGGTTGTTGTTGTATGATCTGTTGTCATGAGCATTACACCATCGTATTAACGGTGTTCGAGCCACGCTGCTGCTTTTGGGAGTTTAATTACGTCCATGTCTAGTATCCAAGTGGGCTTGATTTGAGTAATTTGTAATCTTGTTTTTTTCTTACTTTGTGAACCCTCTTTCAAAAGTTGATTGTTTTCTTTTGTTGTGAATATGGACCTTCAATTTGTGGTTTATTTTTAATGTGATTTCTTTTTTCTTTTGTTGATAGGAGTGGAGTGCTTCCGGGAGCGGGTTGGGTTTTGACAGCACCACGGATATTATTTCACTCGGAGTGGCCATTTTCGTGTTACTATTCGTGTTACTACTTTCGTTTTACTGTTGCTATTTGCAGTGACTCTTGTGGGTGTGATTTTTCTCTTTTGCATACCTGGTGCTGTTACATTCACCCCCATAGAAAACATTTGGCGCATCATAAAGAGGAAGATGCGATAAAGAAGACCTAAGACAGTTGAGCAACTAGAAGCCTGTATTAGACAAGAATGGGACAACATTCCTATTCCTAAACTTGAGCAACTTGTCTCCTCAGTCCCCAGACGTTTGCAGACTGTTATAAAAAGAGGGGATGCCACACAGTGGTAAACATGGCCTTGTCCCAACTTTTTTGAGATGTGTTGATGCCATGAAATTTAAAATCAACTTATTTTTCCCTTAAAATGATACATTTTCTCAGTTTAAACATTTGATATGTCATCTATGTTGTATTCTGAATAAAAATATTGAAATTTGAAACTTCCACATTGCATTCTGTTTTTATTCACAATTTGTACAGTGTCCCAACTTTGTTTTAATTGGGTTTGTATTTTAGTTTGTCTTGTGTATATATATATATTTTTTTTCATGCGATCAGATAACATTTTAAGATGTCATGTTACAATGTACCCCACCTTCGGGGCATGTGGTCACCTCTCACTTCCAATTTTTGAGAGTAAATAAAGAAAAACGTATATACTGTAATTATGAAACAAAGCGACATTTGTACTAGACAAGTGTGACATTACTGTGGATAAAAAAAATTATACTCTGAACCCCATTTGGATTTACACAATTTGAGAAAGTCAAAAAGTGTTACTTTGTGCCCCGCTCTCCCCGACTTGTTAATTATTATGATGTTTTTATCAGCTGTTTGGACTCTTATTCTGACGGCACCCATTCACTGCAGAGGATCCACTGCTGAGCAAGTGATGTAATGCTGAATTTCTCCAAATCTGTTCTGATGAAGAAACAAACTCATCTACATCTTGTGTACAATCTTTGGGTGAACTATTCCTTTAACGGAGGTGGTGAACCACAGTGCAATGTTAACCTTCTCTGTTACTGCACCCAAACTTTGGAATTCCCGTGGCACTCAGAACAGTCACCTCTTTCAGTGAATTCAAATCAAAGCTTAAAACTTGTTTGTTTAATCAACACTATCACTAATTTACATTGTGTATTTGTCTGTTTTGTTTTCTATTTCTGTCTTTACTACATAATCTGTGTTATATGCAACTGCATTATTTGTAACTGAATTGGGCAAATGTCCAATGAAATTGTTTCTTTGTAATCAATATTGCTGCTTTGGTGTACCTTGTAGAGTGTCCTTGAGCTTGGGAAAGGCGCTATATAAATTAAACATATTATTATTATTAATGTCATAATAGTCATACATACAAAGTGCAGACAAGGCTTGTCGTTGTGCTCTGCTGTCAGTAGAGCTCATTGGATATATCTGAAGCCACAACATTTGAGTATGGCTGATTATCAACTCTCAGTGTGAGTTCTGAACTTTCCATACAGAGCTGTCACCACTTCAACCTACTAGGAAAACAAAGGTAAGTAGGTTCTTTTAGGATCATTTTGGAGTGTTCTTATAATTAAGTTATTTAAAGAGATAAGTTATTTAACCTCTAGTCTAAACTGTTAAAAGTAAAGTTTACTTATAAATAAATCCTAATCTAATCATGACAGACTATCGTTGGAAAGGTCTAAGACTCCTGAAAAGATATTTTACCTCTTTTTTGTTACAAATTATGTAGGGACCGTATAAATAGATTAATTCATGACAAGAGTGCACCTTAAAAAGTTCTGACCTGTCAAAAAAAGTTTTTTTTTTGTTGCTTTTTTTTCCCTGTCACGCTTTTGAAATCATCATAAATTATATAACAATTTAAAGCTTAAAACCTCAAAACTCATCCTCCTCAAACCATTTTAAAATCGGACACCAGTGTTGGGGAAAGTTACTTTTAAAAGTAATGCATTACAATATTGCGTTACTCCATAAAAAAGTAACTTATTACGTGACTTAGTTACTTTTTCTGGAAAGTAATGTGTTATGTTACTTTTGCATTACTTTTTAAATCTGGACAGGGCTTGCTTGTTTGTTTTTAAAATAAAAAAGTTCTATTTTTGGCAAATATATAATAGCCTTTTCACACCAAAAGTGAAATGAATAAGCCTCAGGCTGAAGGGAAAGTACATTAACATCCGTACAGTAGAATGCAGAATAAGACATTTCAACACTTCAGCAATAAAAAAGGACACACAAATGTCTGTCTAGAGTAATTTTTGCTTAGTATGGTTGAACTGGATCATCGAAGGTCAGAAGCAAAGACATTAATAGTTAATAGAATGGGATTAAATACATAAAGGATATTTGTGTTGTTTAACATTTAATTATTGCAGGTTTGCGTCATATTCTGAGTTGCATTATTTTTATTCATTTTGAGGAATACTGAATCTTTTTTTAATCTTAAATCTTTAAATCTTTTTTTAATCTTTTTCTCGTTTTTTTATTTTTTGCGAGTGAGATGAATTAATGCATATTCATATTTATTTTAGAGCTACAGTAACATGGGGACAGGAGAGCTGTCAATCAATAAATTGAAAAAAAAGTAGCTTGCGTTACTTATTTGAAAAAGTAACTCATATATTCTCTTGTAAATTAAAAAGTAATGCGTTACTTTACTAGTTACTTGAAAAAAGTAATCTGATTACGTAACTCGCGTTACTTGTAATGCGTTACCCCCAACACTGTCGGACACTGGAAACTTCCAAATCATTTTTCTAAATGTTTTCATTCATGAATTATAACTATTTAAGTTTGGATAGTGCACTTTCACGTCTATGTTCAAAAATGGGGGTGACAGTTAAAGTACAATATAATGTATTGTATTAAAATAGATGTAAATGGTTAATTTTGGGGTATTTTTCTAAATGAGCAAAGCTGTTTTGATCAAAGTATGTAATTTCCTTGTATTCTTACCTCCATAAATCCTAAGCTGTCCCTGAGAGCTAAAGATATGTCACTTCTTCTACTTCTGATCCTGATTTATGGCCTGGATGCTGGAGAATGCAACAAGAGTAACTATTGAAAGCACTTACCTTCTTATAAAAAATCTATTTAATTATATTAAAATGGTTCACATTGCTAGTTTAACTACAAACAATCATTAAAGCTCAAAGAGGTAGTAAATGGTTAAATCCCTCTTCCTGAAATAAGTAATACTTTCTTTATTTAAATACTTGATTTCCTTGTGTTCAGAATTTGTACTTCGATACACTGCTTTTGTTCTAATAAGGAAATATTTGCATGCAATTTCCATAGACCTTCTAATTCAGACACATAAATAGATAAATAGATACAGGGGAGACCGAGGCTGGTCCTCAGGCTTCTGACTTCACTGAATAGTTCCTTTAGGTAGCTTTATTTTTGAAACTCAATCTTTTTTTTAACTATTATAGGATTTCCATCGAAATTCAAATAATAAAAAAAAACAGTATTATAAAAATTTAACTAAAAGATTCATTTTTATAAATATGTTACAAAAATTACTACCTGTAAAATTGTAACAACCTGTGACCCATCCAGACATGGGTGATAGTTGTCTAAATGCATGCCAGAGTTTTTCATCTATTTCCATTTGTATCTGATTACGAACCACATTAACCTTAATAAATACTTCTTTTTTTTTTTTGCAGTCAAGTGAAAAACGCCTTATGTTCAGATGTGCATAATTATTAAGCAAATTATCTTTTTCAAGTAAAATGGCAATCACAGGCTGAAGTGTTGTGACATAGACTGTATTTTTAAGGCTTTACAGACAGATAACCCATAATGACAAATTCTCTGTGTGACAACTAGCCCCGGTCTCCCCTACAATAGAACTTATAAATGATAAGCTCTTTAAAACACTTACATTTCATTCTCTAATTATGTATTTTCCCTTTGTCATGTCAAGTACTTCTAACACTAACAAATAAGGCAATGGAGACGAGAATCTCATTTACATCTGGACGCAAAATCACTGTTTTGGAAACTGCAGAAGAGTTGCTTTGTAATTCAACAACAAATGCATGTTATATTGAGTGCTCCTATTACGATTTCAGTCAAATCAAAAATTTCACAGAACCAAAAACATTTGACCTGGAAATAAATCATGAGGATAACACAAGAGTTGACTTCAGCATATGTAAGCAAGACTTATTTTCTTCCATTGAATTTAACCAGTTACAGCTTTCTAAGAAATGTGCATTGAGTATGATACCTTGGTGGTTCGCAGGACGTTAACTTTTCCTGTCATCTATGACTGTAGGTGACACATTATCCAAATGCACTGTGGTAGATTGCTTGCCTGGTGACATAAGTAAGCTCCTGAAAAAGAAAGCGGAAAAACTGAATATGCCAAAAGACATGAGAAACATTCTCAATATTAAAAGAATGTGCAAAGATGTGATCTTTCATGAAGCTGTTCTGGATACCTACATTAGGTAAATATAACCTTGTTAAAGATTTTAAAATGCACAATTCTTTCAGTGGACATTCAGAGGTTCCAAACCCTCTTACTGGAAGCACCTAATGATAAATCAGGTGTGTTTGATTAGGGAATGTGCGGTTTTGTGCCGGTCTACAAGAGCAGGGTTGGAAACACTGCTTAGACTTTTTTGCTTCTTGTTTTTATCTAACCTTTTTGCAGTGTGGAAAAGAAAGCCATCCATGGCATTATAAATATGAATAATTCTGAGAAATCCAAGACCTACTATCAAGAGGATCTTTCCATCATTGTGGTTAAGATGAATTTAAGCACGACAAATGAGTTTGTACAAATCGCCGCTCCAGGGGTAAGACTCTTGCCCCATACTGTTTATGCCAAAAGTCCAAGCTGACACAATTCTGTTAGCTACTAAACTGCTGTAAGTGATTTCTTCCCTTGGAAATATTTCTCCTTTTCATTTTTGTCCATAGGGACTTAAACATTTTCAAATTGAAGTCTTCTAAAGCATTGACCGAACTAAGCAGCTCTGTGGTGAATCATATCATTACAAACTTTGGTTTAAAGAAAAAGCATTTAAAAATCTCACAAAAATACGAGTGTACTTAGCAACTTGGTCTTGCATGGCCAAAATAGCTGCTCAAAGGCATTGCTAATATGGCTGCTGTGATGCCGGGAAGCAGAAGTGACAACAGGAGGAAACGTGGATCTAGTTGCAGGATGATTTATTAAACAAAACAGGCAAATAAGACAAAGGACGAGACATGAAGAGCAGAAAATGTACCTCTTATTTCTGATTGTGGCTGTGCTGGATGTTTGGTTTTTTTTATGACAAATAGTTAGACCTTAGACGGGGTAGACAGCATTTAGAATTTTTTCTTGTATGAAAATGAGGCTGTGAGGGATAAGCCTAGTCTTTACAATGGCACACACTGTGTATAAAAACCATATGCTTTCCATAACTCACAGTCAACTCACAACTGTTTTAATAATAATTAGTTAATAAATGACATTATGCAAGGAATAATTGATGAAGGGCCGTTGAATTATTAGAAAATAACGCACACCCAAGGTGATTTTGAACCCATAAAAACTATTTAAGCAAAGATGTTATAAATATATATTTTTTTGAAGCTAGAAGCTGCCACTATATTTTAAAAAATAATAATATTTTCGAAACAACAGCAAAAAAGAATGCTAAACTAATGTAAGTAAAACATTCTCAAGCTGAAAGGAAGTAAACAGTCTAATTATTAATTAAAAGCAAAAGGTTAAATAAATATATTAAAGGTTCACTAAGCGAATTATGCCAAACGATGTTGATATTTGAAAGCAGTGGCGTAGCGAGTCAGCCCCGGGCCCATATGCAAAAAATTTGTATGACGCCTTTAGAGAGAAATGCATGGATTACATAATAAAAGAGTTTTTGTTTTCGATTTGAACTATTTCGTTCTATAGATGTGTTTATCATGTCGTTGAAGTGCTCCTGCTCAAGACCAAGACGACAGAAAGCGCATCCTGTTTGTTTTCCTTATTTTACAAAAGCACAAGGTTTTGTTGATATTGTGAGTGCACACAAATACAAGTAGACCATTTGCAGTTCCGAATGATGTATACTCTTACCTCTATGAGCAAAAGTTACGGCGGATTTTTAAGTTTATAAAAAAAAATAATAATAATGCAAGTGATCGCACTGGCGCCTCATTTATCTAGGTTAAATGTTTAAATTAATATTGTGAAATGCATGAAGTGTTTTATGTCTGTTTATTTTAGGCAAGTCGTGTTGGTTTGAGAAGGCTAAACTGATCAAACATAATGCTCAACTCACTGTCTGCTGCTGCCGCTTGGTCGTTCCTTTAAAAAACAAAAACTTGAATTTAACAAACATAAAAT